GTGATCCCTCCGAGCTCAGGGCCAGGTTTAAGCCCTGAACACACACACATTGTCTGTGGCCATAATCCAAACCAAACCAACAAAGAAAAGCCTGGAATATTTTGAAAGACAAGTTGAAAAGTAACAATGGCAAACTGCATCGCGGTAAAGCAGTCTTTCCAAATGAAAGGCTCTGACCCATCGATGAGTTAGCAAAATAATCTAGTAGGTTATGAACAGCTTTGTTTTTCCTAAACAGGATAGGATATAATAGGTTAAAAATAATAGAAGCTGGGGGCGTGGTGAGAATGTATAATGGGTAGGGTACTTGCCTTGCATGCCACTGACCCGGGTTTGATCCCTGGCACCCCATATGGTCCCCAGAGCCCACACATGACCAGTGATTCTAGAGCTGGGCATGCCTCTCAAATATAAACAACTGAGCAGACAATGTGAACTAAGTCTAAATGAAAAATTTACTTCTGTATGCAGACTGAGGTCAAGACATTTGATTTTTACTGCATTCTGCCTCTTAAAAATTTCTTCCTAAGGTCTAGGGATGTGGCTCGGTGGTAAGCACATGCCTTGCATACAAGAGACCTGGGTTTGATCCTTGGCAACACACACAGACACACACACACACACACACACACACACACACACAGTCAGAGGGGAGGGTAGAGATAGATAGCTCAGAAGCTAGGGGCATTTGCATTCAGTTACAAGTTCAGTCTCTGGTTTTGCATGTCCTCAATCACCACTGGGTATAGCCCTAGAAAGCCAAGCTCTGTTGGGTGTGGTTCTGGGAGTCCCGAGCACCACCAGGTCCAAGTGCCTCTACCACACCAGGCTCCAGTGGGCTGAGTATTGTCCAAAATGGTCCCTGAGCAGTGCCTGGAAGGCCCCCAACCCCAAATATTCTTATGCAAGTTTAGGGTGAAAAGAGGTGTTATTGGATCATTGAAGATTTCAGTTGCTTTCAGTATCATAGCTTTTGATAGTTCAAATTAAGTTGGCATTTTCAAGCTATGCCTTTGAAATTACTTTCTAGTATTAGAGAATTAAATTTGATAGACTTTAGGTGTCAAAACAAGTGAAGACAAATTTGACGATTATATGGAAATTTTAAGAATAACACGAACTAAGGGGTTGGAGTGATAGCACAGCGGGTAGGGCGTTTGCCTTACACATGGCCAACCCAGGTTCGGTTCCCAGCATCCCATATGGGCCCCTGAGCACTGCCAGGGGTAATTCCTGAGTGCATGAGCCAGGAGTAACCCCTGTGCATCGCCGGGTATGACCCAAAAAGAAATAATAATTATAATAATAATAATACGAACTAAGTTAGAGACCTGGCATCTGGTTCGGTGGTAAAGTGCATACCTTGAATGTATGAAGTTTGATTCCCAGAATCAAAGGGGAAAAGTCTCATTAAAAAACTCACATCCTCCAAAGAAACAGTGACCAAAATACAAAGACAGTCTACAGAATGGGAAAGGATATTCACCGAATACACATCTGACAAGGGGTTGATATCCAGGATATACAAAATACTGGTTAAACTCCACAAGAAGAAAACATCCAACCCCATCCAAAAATGGGGCAATGAAATGAACAGAAACTTTCTCAAAGAAGAAATCCGAATGGCAAAAAAGCACATGAGAAAATGCTCTACATCATTAATCATCAGGGAGATGCAGATCAAAACCACAATGAGATACCATCTCACACCTCAGAGACTGGCCCAAATTCAAAAGAACAAAAGCAACCGATGCTGGCGTGGATGTGGCGAGAAAGGGACACTCCTTCACTGTTGGTGGGAATGTCCACTGGTTCAGCCCTTCTGGAAAACAGTATGGACGATTCTCAAAAAATTAGAAATTGAGCTCCCATTTGACCCAGCAATACCACTCCTGGGAATATATCCCAGAGAGGCAAAAATGTATAGTCGAAGTGACATCTGCACTTGTTTGTTCATTGCAGCCCTCTTTACAATAGCCAGAAACTGGAAGAAACCTGAATGCCCAAGAACAGATGACTGGTTAAAGAAACTTTGGTACATCTACACAATGGAGTACTATGTAGCTCTTAGAAAAGATGAAGTCATGAAATTTACATACAAGTGGTACAATATGGAAAGTATCATGCTAAGCGAAATGAGTCAGAAAGAGAGGGATAGACATAGAAAGATTGCATTCATCTGGGGGATATAAAGTAACAAAGTATGAGATTAATACCCAAGAATAGCTGAGATCAGCACCAGGAGGATTACTCCATAACTTAGAGGCCAGCCGGGTATCCTAGAGGAAAGGGCTGTTCAGATAGAGAAGGGAGCACCAAATAAAGGATGTTTGGAGGATCCTCCCAGGAGGGGAGATGCATGTCGAAAGTAGACTATGGACTGAACATGTTTGCCACTCAATGCCTCTTTTGCAGACCACAACACCCAAAAGGAGAGAGAGAACACAGGGGATTCCCTGCCACAGAGACGGGGGGATGGGGGGATGGGGGTGGGAGGGATATTATCCATGGTGGTGGAAAATGGGCACTGGTGGAGGGATGGGTATCTGATCATTGTATAATTGAAACCAAAGCACAAAAAATTGTAAATCTACAACTTTAAAAAAAATAAAAGAAAATAAAGGGGAAAAAAAAAAAAAAAAACTCACATCCAGGGGCTGGAGCAATAGCACAGTGGGTAGGGCGTTTGCCTTGCACACGGCCAACCCAGGTTTGATTCCCAGCATCCCATATGGTCCCCTGAGCACCGCCAGGGGTAATTCCTGAGTGCAGAACCAGGAGTAACCCCATGCTTCGCCGGGTGTGACCCAAAAAAAAAAAGGAAAAAACCATCCATATAATAATGCCACATTCATTTCATAATGCTCTTTTAATAAGAGCATTATATTTATATTTTTTGCAGTCCTGGCCTGATACCGCTCTTATTTCACCTCCATGGAAGTTTCATAGAGTCTAATTTCTTAAAACTGCAAGTCGCAAAATTTCTAAAATAAATTTGTGATTTTTTATCAGTAATTGTTCGATCTGTATACCTATTTTACATGCCTGGGGTGAAGTTGGGTGAAAAGGGGTTGCCAGTGGAGAAAAGCCCTGCTATAGGGAAACTCACTCTGTTCTTGATTTAATCCAAATCAGATTGTACCATGATATTGCTAATAAATAAACGTTTTGCAGTACTATGTACCTTTGAATTTTAGAATAATAGTGCCACCTGGTGGTGGTTATAGGTCGAAATCTGTGTGAAATCGCTCCTGGAAGCTACCCAAGATGTATTTGATATGCCAAAACAGTAACAAGTCCGACAATGGAGATGTTAATGGTGCCCCTTTGAGCAAAATCGATGAACAGGAGGATAGTGCTACAGTGCTTTTACATGTGCAGGCAATCACATTTACCTTTTTGAGGATCTGCAAGACTCTTCTCAATGGCTTTGCCATTTTACTTTCCAACCAGCAATCAAGGAGGATTCCAATTTCTCCACACCCTGCTCGACACTTACCCAATTTTTCTGTTATGCCTTGCAGATACTAAGTGGAATTTTGTTTTGCGGAAAAGCCTTGTTCTCTAATGGTGCTGGGCATCTTGTTAGTCATTTGGAGCAACATTTATTCTCATGAAGAAAAAGTTTAGGGACTGGAGTGATAGTACAGTGGGTAGGGCCTTTTTGCCTTGCACGCGGCCGACCAGGGTTCGATCCCCAGCATTCCCATATGGTCCCCGGAGCACCGCCAGGAGTAATTCCTGAGTGCAGAGCCCGGAGTAACCCCAGTGCATCGCCGGGTGTGACCCAAAAAGCAAAAAAGAACAAATTTAAAAATCTTTGTTGCTGCGTTCTGAAAGATGTTAATACGTCCTGGGTAATCGTGTGATTTATATGATGCACGGATATTTTATCCCAGTCTTCTCCAGCTCTTTCTGAAACGAAGAGCTGTCGCCGAAAATTCCTAGTATTGGCGCCGTTTTGCAGAAACCTTTGGCTTCTTGGGTTTTTCTCTTATAGGGAGCCCTTTGACCTGTTGGTTCTCCAGTGACCACCTGCGTGTCGTCGATGCCCCGAGTCTCTTAAAAAGACCCTATGGGAAAGGCTGGGAATGTGGAAGAGAAAAAAGGAGAAAGAGGAGGAAGTGTGGGGGGGGGGGAGGAGAAAAAGGAGAAAGAGGAGGAGGGGGGGAGGAGAAAAAAGGAGAAAAAAGAGGAGGAAGGGGGAGGAGAAAAAGAAGAGGAGGAGGGTGGAGGAGAAAGAGAGGATGAAGGGGGGAGGAGAAAAAGGAGAAAGAGGATGAGGGGGGAGGAGAAAAAAGGAGAAAAAAGAGGAAGGGGGGAGGAGAAAAAGAAGAGGAGGAGGGGGGAGGAGAAAGAGAGGATGAAGGGGGGAGGAGAAAAAGGAGAAAGAGGAGGAAGGGGGGGAGGAGAAAGAGGAGAAAAAGGAGAAAGGGGGAGGGGAAAGAGGAGGTCCTGAGTCGCCGTTCCGAAGTCCGCGAGCCTGGCCTGGGGTCGCAGGGAGCAGGGCACGCTCGGGGCCTGCGACAAGCGGGAGGAGCCGTCCCCCAGCTCCGGGGCGGCGCCTCTCGCCCTCGGGACCGCCCCGACGTTCCGCCCCCCGCCCCCCCCCAAGCCGAATCCGTTCCCCCGGGCCCGGACGTTCTCGCGTCCCGTCGGGGCGGCCGAGTCCGGTTGCGGCGGGAGGAGGGGGCGCCGCGCCCCGCAGCCTCGGCCTGGCCCCGCTCCCCGGCGCGGCCCGTCGAGCCGCTCAGGGCGCACGTAGCGGCTGACGCGCGCGGGGAGCGGGACGCGGGCGGGGGCCGATTGTCACCGCGCGCGGGGCGGGGCGGGCGGGCGGGCGGGCGGGCTGCGCCGGGGCCGGCGGCGGGACGCGGAGCGGCGCGGAGCGGCGCGGAGAGGCGCGCGCGGCGGCGGCGGCGGCGGCGGCGGGGCGGCCCGGCGCGTGCGCAGGCGCACTCGGCCCCTCGGGCGCGGCGGGCGGGGGCGCGGGGCGGGGCGCGGGCGGGGCTCGATGCGGGCGCCCCGCGGCCTGGCACTGCCCGCTCCCCGGCGCCGCGAGTCCCCGCGAGCGCGATCGACGGAAAGCCATGTTGCCCAACACCGGGTAAGGGCTTGGGGCCCCCCGGGAGACCCCCGCCGCCCCCCGGCCGCGGCCGAGCGCGCACGGCCGAGGCGGGGGCGGGCGGAGGGCCCGGCCGGGGGGCGGCAGGGTTGGCGACGCGCCCGGGCCCCGCCGCGCGCCGCGGTGCTGGGAGCCCGCCCCGAGCCCCCCAGAGCGGCGTCTCCCAGCAGGCAGCCAGGCCCCGAACGCGTCTCCCGTCGGCACGGACCCCCGGGTGCGCGGCGCACCCCGGGGTGGGCGCTGCGACGTGTCCGGGTGCAGGCGCGAGCGTTCTCGGGGAAAGGTCGCCGCGGGGCTCCACGCAGCTCCGGACGCGCGATCGGGGGCAGTGAGAGCAGAGCGTGTTCGTTTCCAAAGCGATCCAGAGATTAGCAGCAGATTCATCTTGATGGGTGGGTGTCTAGGGGGTCGGGAGGGTGGGGGGTGATCCACGCCAACAGCGACCAGTTAGGTGAAATGCGCAGAACAGGAAATTGGCGCTTGTAACCACTTTTGAGTCCGGGGACGGTTCGATATAGCCGAGTGTCTTTGCGCGGTTGTGCAACTCCGATCTTCAGAACTTTTTCAACCTGCAAAACTTTTTCGACCTTTCCAGCTCCTTTTACGTCTCCCCTTTCCCTCTTTTTCCTCGCAACTCGTTTGGTTTCTAAAAGCTGTGGGTGTTGAGCCAAGTGCCGTATCTGGTTCATTCTGTAATTTTCCTGAAGCATGACCAAAGGGGCTAAGGGTCAAAAGTGAGTTTCAACCACCGTCTCATATGCTTGCAAAGATAGCTTATGCATTCAAAACTTATTTTGTACACCTATGACACACACGCTCCACTTGTAAAATTCATAGCGTATCCCTCTCTTTCAAGGTCACGTTGTATTGGATATGTGTTAGTGATTTATGTAAGCGGCTCTTTGTCATTGGATTGAGTCCTTTTCTAGAATTTTGTTACTCCTCTTTGCTGCAGTGATTCTCCTTGGATTCACCTGTTTGCACATAGTTGAGTGTTACCTGTCTGATGGATTTCTGGAAGTGAAGTTGGGTTTTATCAGAGAGCATTTTATGCGCAGTTTAAATTTTGACAGCAGATACCGGACTTCAAAGAGGGTTCCACACCCCAAAAGATGGTTACTTCTTTTTTCCCCGTTTTGTATTCCGGTCCATACCTAGTGCTCAGGAGCTATTCCTGGCTCTGTGCTGAGGGTCACTCCCAGCAGTGCATGAGGAAACATGATCAGCCAGGGCCTCCTGCATGCAAAGTGTGTGCTCAACCGGTTAAACAGTCTTTCCCACCCACGGGTGTTCCTTAACCCAACGAGTTGGCAAATTGCAATAGCCTTGATAATAGAAATTTTTGTTCTGATAATAAAAATATGGAGTCAAGTCGTAAAGTTTAGTTAAGTATACTTTATTATGCGTGAGGATGAGGCTCTTCCAAAATATATTTCATTTTGTTTTGGAGCCACACCTGGTGGTGCTCAGGGGTAAGTCCTACCTCTAATTTTAGGAATTATTCCTGGCAGTGCTCAGGACCAGATGGGATGCCAGGGATCGAACCCGGGTCTGCCTTGTGCAAGGCAAGCACCCTACCTGCTGTGCTAGCGCTCCAGTCCCCCAAAGTATGTTAAAAGTAAGCCAGAGGGGGCTGGAGCGATAGCACAGCAGATAGGGCATTTGCCTTGCATGCGACCAAACCAGGTTCGATTCCCAGCATCTCATATGGTCCCCCGAGCACCGCCAGGGGTGGTTCCTGAGTGCATGAGCCAGGAGTAACTCGGTGCATCGCCGGGTATGACTCAAAAAGAAAAAAAAATAATAAAGTAAGCCAGAGCCATAGTAGAGCAAGTATGGTGCTTACACTGTATGAGTCCAATCCTGGGTTCGATCCTCAGCATCTTAAATGGTCTCCTGAACCATGCCAGGAGTGATCCCAGAGAACAGAGCCAGGAGTTCAGCCCTGAGCAGGTGTGACCCAGAAACAAACACAAAACACAAAACTATAAGGTGGCAGTCCTCCTACAGGAGCAATTTTGACTTCCACAGGATAGTTGAGAGTTTGCTAGGAACATTTCTGACTGTCACATTCTAAGGGGGCCTGCTGGCATCTAGTAGGTAGAGTCCATTGCTGACAGACATCCTGCATTCCCCTGGAGAGTCCCCTACAGCAAAGAATGCTGTCTTCTGAAACATATTTGTTGAACAGAGCTCCAGAAACTTGGATTTAAAGCCATCCATTTATCTTTTGCTTTGTCTGACCTAGATTTTTGATTGATCTCTTGAGAGCTCTGTTTGGAGGCTACACCCAGCGGTGCTCAGGGCTCATTCCTGATTCTGCTCTCAGGTATCACTCCGGTGGGGGACCCTATGTGGTCCTGGGGATTGAACTTGGGGCATGTGCAAGACAAGTGCCCTGCTACTGTATAGTAGCACTGCTGTGTCTCTTCAACTCCTGGAACGACTGTTTAAAAACTTTCTTCAGTATGGTAAAGGTAAAGGCCCTCCCGTTGATCGTCGATTTGCTCGAGCGGGCCCAGTAACGTCTCCGTTGGAGACTTTGTTGTTACTGTGTTTGGCATATCGAATATGGTTTGTTAAAAATATTTTCTTCTCTTTTTTTTTCAGTATTTATTTTAATTTTGTTGTTTATCATGCAGAAAACATTTTTTGATCTTTAAGGGGTGGGGTTCAGGTCACACCTGGTGATGCTCAGGGAGACCATTGTGTGGTGCTGGCATCAAATCAGAGTCCACCGCATAGAAGGTGTGCAACTCAAACCTTTGTACTCCCTACTCCCTTAAATGTGTGCTGTTATTGTGTCAGAGATCCCGATCTTAGAGTCTTTTTGTTTTTATTACCAATCTAGAAGGACATCTTAAAAGAGTTCTTTTTAAATGATATTGTTCTCATTTTATGGCATTTTTGCAGATTTTTTCAGTCACACGAATGAAATATTACTTTCTCCTTTTTTAGGTTTTAGAAGTCAGGAAGTCCATTTTATTTGATTCAGCTGGTTATGCAGTTAAATGACCTTTCCTTCCTGTTAAGAAATTCCACCTTCAGTGTGTGTGCGTGTGTGTGTGTGTGTGTGTGTGTGTGTGTGGTTATCTGTCTGACTCCTTTTTATCTGTTACTTTGGTCTGTTTTTGCCTTATACTAAGCTTTTCGTGTGTGGCGTGGAGGTGAGGATGGGGGTGGGGGGAGGGGCACTCCTGACTCAGATCTCTCCTGGCAGTGCTTGGAGAACCATTTGTGGTGCTGGGGATCCACCCCAGATTAGCTGCATGCAAGGAAAGCACCCTGCTCTCTGTACTCTCTTTAGCCCAATACTAAGGTGTTGTGTGTTGTTTTTTTTTAATTGAATCACTGTGAGATAGACCCTTACAAAGCTGTTCATGATTGGATTTCAGTCATACAGTGTTCCAACACCCATCCCTCCACCAGTGTACATTTCCCAGCACCAGTCACCCCGGGTTCCCTCCTATCACCCCATCCCCCACCCCCTACCTGCCTCTATGGCATGCACCTCTCTCTCTTCCTCTCTCTCTCTCTCTCTCTCTCCCCCCCCCTCCACTTACCCCCCCCCACCCCTCTTGGGCATTATGTTTTGCAATATTGACACTGAAAGGTTATCAAGAATATTCCTTTCCGTACTTTTAACTCAAATCTTGTCCAGCGTGAATACTAGGATATCTCAACTTGCTCTAGTTTTCTAAAAATATGTTTGTGTCTAGGGGTGCTAGTTCCTGCCTCAGTTGAATTCTTTTTCAGAATTTCGCTGGTTGCTTTTGGATGTTTATTTCTCCAAATGGGCTTTAGAATGGCCTGCATACATTAGCAGGTTTTAGTCATCTTCCAGTGGCGCTGAGAAGTTTGGAATCTTCCTCTCCCTCTCCCTCTTCCTTTCTCTTTCCTCTCCCCTCCTCATCCCTCTTCCTTCCCCTCTTTCCTCCTCCCTCCTTCTCCCCTCCCTTCTCTGTAGCGCCACTCTTCCGCTCACACTTTCTCTCCAACCCCCCCCTTTTTTTGTCTTTTCTTTCTCCTCCCTTTCTCTCGTTTTAATGCTTTGGAGCTGGCAGGGTTGCTTCCTAGCACAGAACTCCTTCAGGACGAGAGAAACTGTCCGCTCGTTCTTGCTGCCAGTGCTGTAGACTTGGAGCAAGAGTCCTTCCAAATGTCCTCACGTCCTTTATCCTACTGGGAACCAATCCAGCTAAACTGGAGGCAGAGGCCTAGTGCTTTTTAAAGCAATAGTTAGCACATTATCTAAATATTTGCATTAGGAATGGCTTCAGTATTCCCTACGTACTACTTTTTTTAAAGAAGGAAAAAATTACACACAACATATTGTGCTGTTGGGCGTGTTTGCATTTTATTTTAAAAAATGCAGGAAGGAAAGTCCAGACCTCTTCGAGTGTGTCACTGTCATCCCGTTGTTCATCGATTTCCTTGAGCAGGCACCAATAATGTCTCCATTCGTCCTAGCCCTGAGATTTTAGCGAGTGCCACGTTGGAGGCTCTTTCGGGGTCGGGAATGAGACCCATCATTGTTACTGGGTTTTGGCATATCAAATACACCACGGAGAGCTTGCCGGACTCTGCAGTGCGGGCAGGAATACTCTTGGTAGCATGCCGGGTTCTCCAAGAGAACTAGACAATAAGAGGACCCACGGCCGCAAATGCAGCCCTGTGCTTCCAAGAACTTGGTTTTATAGTCTCTGAATCTTGGCCGTTGATGGGATTACACGGTGTCGGGAGCAGTGTAACTGTCTAGCTACTGGAAGAGGGGGGCATCTGGGTGGAGGAGGCCCAGTCCCGATCCGAGCAGGCTTGGAGATCTCAGCCCCGGGTGCCACACACCCGGGTTCCTATGCCGGTTCCTTCAGGTGTGAGACTCGTCTGAGCATGTCAAGAGTGGCCTTGAGCGTGGCTGTGGCTGGGTTCCGGAGGTCTTCAGCTGCTGGGGCTCTGCTTGGAGCGGGGAGGGAAACTCAACC